ACAGCTAGCAAAGAGATTTTATAAAATGCCCTGCTGGCTTCATGACTTAGTCTATCACTTTATCCTTAAGTCAAAAGCAAAAACAATAAACAAACGTGTCTCTAGCTTTACTTCTGTGTTTCATGTTAAAAAGTCTGGATTTTGATAAATGCATGTGTAAGCTTTGGATTAAACTCCGTTTTATGCATTCACTCAGCAGATATTTTCTGAATTCCTATGAAGTTTCAGACAGTCTTCTAGGTGCTGCAGTTAATAAAGCAAAGTTTCTGCCTCCATGTCTGGTAAATTTTTGCAAGACAGTTTGCAAATAATATTGTTCTAACAGACTATGTTTTTCTTTTGCTTTGTTTTCTGGTCTTTATCTTAACCTTAGAAAATACTCAGTTTAAGATAAAAATTATTGACTTATGGTCTATTCTTAAGTGACCACAAGAAGTCCTCTTATAAACTTTTGAGTAATTATACTAAATAATTAAATGATCAAGAAAGATTCAGTCTATTTTGTTTAAATGATTCAGAGGGAATTGAAAGTAATGGTCCATCTGGCAGAGTTGTGTGTAATTATTTTCCATTATTATTTGCAATAGACCAGAACTTAGATTTGAAAAAAATACAGTGCTATTGGGGATCTTAAAGAAGAGACTAGAAACTAAGTTGGCTTGTATAATGATTTTATTGTTGTTTTATAAGAAAATAACATATTGTTATTGCCATTAGTATAGCTAGTATGGAAATTCAGACCTTCAGGACTAAACCCTGATAGGGTGCTCTCTGACGGATGCTAATATTTTGCTCTCAGCAACACATGCTTGCAAACAAAACAGTATATATTTGCTATGACCTTGGGGAAACATCAGTTTCCTAAAGATAAATTGACTCATACATATAAAAGGCATGTAATTCCAAACTAATCTGACATAAAACAACTTAAATAACTTGCATCCAGGAAATAAGCATAATAAAAGAGAATGCAAACTCATTTCCTTATCTTGAATTTCTCTGACAAAATTGCAAATGTTAGAAGCTTGGTTGTTGCTAGCTAAGTATTGTGGTTTTTTTGTTTTGTTTTGTTTTGTTTTTTTGCTCAAGCTTTTCATTCAGAGCTTCTAGTTCTCCTAGTTATGCAGAAAGCTCTGCTCTATTATTCTGCTCTTGCCCTTCCGTATTTGTCTCCAGTGAATGTGGAAGGGAAGTAAACCATGAGATCCATACTAAAGTTAGGTCTTCCTGGCAAACTGACAGATGAAGAACAATTAGTAGAGTTACCTGCCCGGGAAGAAACAAGCAGCAGTGGGTGACTCTTTGATCTCCGGTTCAGTCCCTACTTCTCTGTATTTTATCTAGTCCGCTGACACATACCTCTGGTTTCTAAAAGTACCTTCCTATTTTCCAGACATCCACACTACACCTTTGCAAACATGGTAATGGTTAGTCAAACTTATGGAAACAACTTTTTGTTATTTCTACCTTATATAGATAGATCTACACAGTGAAGTAGGTGTTCTTTACTCCATATAGAATATGTCTTGAAAAAGAAGCTATACTTGATGGAAAATAAATTTATATAGGATATGACTTTGGGGTCTTTAATCTTCAAAATTACAATGAAGACTATTGCATGTGCTGAGTAATTTAATTACTTCTTATCTCGAGCAATTAGCAATCATCTCCAGGAATATATTTCTCCTCAGGCTCAGAGAACAGCTTTTGAGTTTAACATGGTGTAAGAGGGAAGACTGCAAAACAGAAACCATGAGAATCAGAACCTGTTCATTCATTCTGTGTTTCGTGGAGATGTAAGGCTCAAAGGAAATCATATTTGGAATAGCTCTGGAAGCCATCTATGTCAGCATCCTTAAATTGCTAAGACAGAGGGTCTTTCAGCCTTTCTGTGGAAGCTAATTGTGAGAGAATCATTACTGCATTACTGCTCATAGTTGTATTGCAAACAACTTTATTCATCAGAATGTTTTTCTATGCAAAATCTACCTCTTTGCAAATTCTACTCATTGGTTAAAGTTCTGCGTTTTAGAGCCATGTAGAAAAACAGATTGCATCTCCTTGTATGGATGTTGTTGTTGTAGTTAGCTGCCCTTGAGTCGGGCCCTGACTCATGGTGACCCCATGCCTTACCAAATATAACACTCCATAGGGTTTTCTTGGGTATAATCTTTATGGAGAATCCCTAATGGTACAGTGGTTAAATGTCTGGCTGCTAACTACAGGGTAAACTGTTCAAACCTCTCAGCCGCTCCACAGGAGAAAGATGTGGCAGTCTGCTTCTGTAAAGATTACAGCCTTGGAAACCCTTGGGACAGTTCTTCTTTGTCCTATAGGGTGACTAGGAATTGAAATCCAATCGAGAGCAATGGATTTGGTTTTTTGTTTATTCAAATCTTTACGGAAGCCGGTTGTCAGGCCTTTCTTCTGCACAGCCACTGGGTGGGTTTGAACGGCTGACTTTTCAGTTAGCTACCTATTGCAAACCAGTTGCTCCACCTTCCAACTAAGGATCCAAGAACCCAAACCCATTGCCGTAGTGTTGATTCCAATTCATAACGACCCTATAGGACAGAGCAGAACTGCCTCATAGGGTTTCCAAGGAGCAGCTGGTGGATTCAAACTGTGGCTCTAACAGCTGTGCTCTTAACCACTGTGCTACCAGGGGTCCCAAGTATGGATAGATGGATAGATTACCACGTATTCTACACAGAGATATTTTGCAAATTATAGAGTGCAAAGTGAATGAGAAATTGATAAATAGGAACCTTAAATTGGAAGTATTGTAGGAGACATGCAATAAAGACATTTCAGTCACACTGTGCTGGAAACTGGGGAATGTTGGTAAAATAAATTATGTGAAATATGTAACTCCTAAATTCATACGTATTCAAATGCAAAAGTTTCTTTTGAATTTTACCCAATATTTTATAAAAATTAACTGCCATTTGTGTTTCTTTGTATTTTCTATTTGTATCATAAAGGCTGAGAACCCTAACCTCAACTGAAGCCAAACTTTCAGACCTATTGCTAACTACACATACATCCACACAGTACTTTCTCCAGGTGACCTGAGCTATTCATCATTTTCCTAAAAACCATTTTGGTTTCAGTCCTCTGTTTATTTGATTCATTCTTTCTAATGGTTAAAAAGCAAAGATGTTACTTTGAAGATTAAAGTGCTCCTGACCCAAGCCATGGTATTTTCAATTGTCTCATATGCACGAGGGGCTCTGGTGGCACAGTGGCTAAAGTGCTCAGCTGCAAACCAAAAAGTCATATGTTCGACACCACCAGCCACTCCATGGGAGGAAGATGTGGCAGTTGTTTCCATAAAGATTTCAGCCTTGGAAAGCCTATGGGATAGTTCTACTCTGTCCTATAGGGTCACTATGAGTTGGAATTGACTCGACATCAGTGGGTTTGGTTTTTGGTTTTTGGTCATATGCATGCAAAATCTGGACAATGTGTAAGGAAGACTGAAGAAGAATTGGTGCGTTTAAATTATGGTGTTGGCAAAGAATATTGACTATACCATGAACTTCCAGAAGAACAAACAAATCTGTCTTGCAAGAAGTACAGCCAGAATGCTCCTTAGAGGCGAGGATAGTGACACTTTGTCTCACATACTTTGGACGTGTAATCAGGAGGGACCAATTCCTAGAGAAGGACATCGTACTTGGTAGAGGGTCAGTGAAAAGGAGGAAGACCCTCAATGAAATGGATTGACACAGTGGTTGTAACAGGGGGCTCAAACATAGTAATGATTGTGAGGATGGTGCAGGACTGGGCAGTATTTAGTTCTGTTGTTCATGGGGTCACTATGAGTCAGAACTGACTGGACAGCACCTTAAAACAACAGCATCAATGATTTCTTTCTATTCCTTGGAAATACTTGTTGAAATTCTCCTCTTATTTCCCCTGATGAAGCTGTTCCCTGGCTTTAGTCAGAGAACCTTTATAGCAACAAGCATCATTATTAAGAATAATTATTCTGTTTTTTAATAAGCACATTTATATACAACTGACTTTCAATACTGTATTATAAATTTTTTCCCAACAGATATCATTTCCAATTCACATTATTTTCTTATGAAGAAATACATAAATAGATCATGCATGGGCGATGGCTAGAGAAATAGGTGCCCTTCCACCTAAACATCTTCCCAAAAGAAGCTCTGAATTCTGCAGATTTACTTCTTGAAAAAGGAAACCTATGAAAAGTTCAGATTTTTTTCAGAAAAGATGGAGCTGGAATGAGAACTGTGAGGAAGAGACGTACTTTAGAATAATAATTTGTATAGCAGTCTAATCCCCAGTTAATATCACAGAAATAAATCAGGAACTTTAGGTCAGAGGTCAAAACTGAAAGAGCAACAGAAGCACTGAAAACTTTATAAGTTTCACATATATATCTTAAAATATATATCTCTAAAATTAAAAAAAAAATACTCTTGTCTCTATTTAAGCAAGGTGTATTAATAGGTCAGAAACAACTTGTCTATGATGATCTGCTCTTATTTCCATATGTGACGGTTAAGATTGTGTGTTAATTTGGCTGGGCCATGACTCTCAGTGGTTTGGCAGTTATGTAATGACGCAGTTTGACAGTTATGCAATAATGCAATTTGGTAGTTATGTAATGATACAGTCATCCTCCATGATGTGATCTGATACGATCAGCCAATAAGTTGTAAAGGTAGTTTCCTCGGGGTGTGGCTTGCAAACAATATACATATGGACATTCTAGCAAAGCTCACTTGCTCTGGTCGTCATCATCTGACCTCTGGTTCTTGGGACTTGAGCCAGCTATCTGCTGTCTTACATTCCTATCTTGGGATTTGTTGACCTTCACAGCCTTTGAGCCAGCAGCCTGTCATCTTCCCTGCCTATCTTGGATTCATCAGGCTCCACAACCTATGAGCCAGCAGCCTGTAGTCTGACCTGCCAATCTTCGTCAGCCCCTGCTGCTGCATGAGTCAGGAGAAGCCTCCAGCCTGATGGCTGATCCATGGACTTGGGACTTGCCAGCTTCTACAAATGTGTGAGCCATTTCCTTAAGATAAATCAATCTCTCTCTCTCTCTCTCTATATATATATATAT